AACCTTCAGAAAATAAATGAGTCATTTTCTTTTGTCTTGTTTGTTATTTTGAGTCACGTTTCATGTCAGTTTATACTCATCCTTGGTTGTCCTTACTGATGTTACTAAAGCATCAATATCAACCCTTTAATTTATGCGAAAAATATCCTTTTATCTACCTTGTAAATTTTTCCTGTCACATAGTAACATATTTTCAAAGCTAGCGCAGAAAAGCAAAGCTAATAATTACTGCAGCCAGTCTTTTTTTTATGTCATTTTTAATGTGGTAAATTGCAAAGGTTTGAGTAGTTTATTAAACCTTTAGAAATCAGCTGTGTGAAAGATATGTTTTATGTCATCATTATATTGTCTTATTTAAAAAAAGGATTTCATTCTTTTTAAATAAAAAAATAGGAGAAATTATTTCAAGCTCTACTGCAGTAATCAAAAGAAAAACAAGTAAAAAAAAATCAATTATTCTATCCAATCTTATAAAATCTGATTATTTACTGATTGTAGGTTTTTTAATCAAATATCATTACTTGATAAAATTTTAATTTGGCAAAATTAGTCAAGCAGAAGGAAATTAATGGGTTACTATTGATGTGTATAACATTACCGTCCACTGTCCTGAGCAGAGAGAGGAAACTTGGACACATTTCAAACCATATTTTTCTACCAGCAAGAGACCTTTAACAGAACCCAACTTATAAAGAAACATTTATTGCCTTTAGCTGCATTTTTTTTTATAGTTTATGTTTATTCTGTTTTTTATTTACTGGTTCAGAGACAGAGTTTGGCCTTTGGATGCTGCTGTTGGCAGCAGCAAAAAATTATTTAGTGGTTTATCCTTGCCTTCTCTATTTTGTGATGGCTTTTAAATTATGCCTTTTTTTTGAGAGATAAGAGTGCCCCCATTCAAAGTGGCTTGAACAGCATTTTGCCTCACCAGGCCAAGATTTTCCAAACTCATTTAAAGCAAAGCTCTTTGGCAGGACAAAATCCAATCAGTGAACAGTTTAAGATTGAGATGTGGCTGACTGTTGGCTGGACCTTGGTGTAAAAAGGCTTTCTTTTAGCTCAGCAACAGCTGACATAATAAAGTGTCATATAATACCATATTCTATGACAGTGGAGCTGCCACCTAAAAACATTTACGGTTACACTTCGACTTTGGGTGTATAAAATTTCCTTGCCACTTAAAACAAGGTTTTAAAATTTGCTCTGAAGATCGAGGAAAAGCAACTAGATCTGCTTCAAGAGATGAATGCAGCGTGATATAAAACATAATTCAGGAAATCAGGCTTCTCTGTAAATCCATGGATAACACCTAGCTCACCTAATCTTGGAGGCAGACTTTCTGTTTCTCACAAGTAAATTCTTAGATTATATGACACCCTTCCACTGAATCAAAGCAGATTTAACCTGCCCTGGTTTTCTTTTCATATTGGATCCCTCTAAATTGCCCTTAGGTCTGAATGAATGTGTGTGTTTGTGCCTGGTTGTTTATCCTGTGCTTTCTCTTTCTCTCGGTTATGTGATGCGATGGAAAGGCAATTTGCTGGAGATATGCTCCACCTCTTGCACAGTGACTGCTGGAGATAGTCAACAGCCTCTTATGATTTAAAAAGGGTCACTAGAAATGACAATGGATTGAAATGCATGAGCTAAATGTAAAAATGAACCAAGCTTAAGAAGTGCACTGAAACTATTTATGAACTATACAAATTAATCATTACTAAGTAATTACTGAATCAAAATATTTTTTAAAAACAGCGAATGATTGTGAAAATCTAAACATTTCTCAACAATAAATTCCTATTATTTAATCTGTCAATAATTATACCATCTATCCAACAATCAGAACTGTTTAAAACCCTCCTTTTGCACAAAATGATCTAAAAAAGGATGCTGGGGCTAATTCATTATTTTAAAATGTCTTTAAACAGAATACTACACTTAACATCAATATGAACATAAATGTAAAGACATAACACGTATCAATTTATTATTTTGTGACACAACAATCTATATTGCTGATGTATTTCCCTTTAAGGTTTCTATCTGAGTATAAGGTTTTAAATAGAAGTATAAAAGGTGTGTGTTTTTATTTCTTTTATTAACATTTCTTTATTGATCGGTTGACAGGAAGCCCTTTTTTTGTCTTTATTACCAAATCAGATCTGAGGCAGATTAGTTGCCATGGTGACAGGGCCAAGTCAGAAGTCAACCCTGCTTTCTAGTGTATGCTGCAAGTAAGGTTAAGACAAATGAATAGACGATGTAAACAGCTGTAAAAGAAACGATGGGCCAGAAATCTTTTTTTAAACCAATGATCACAAATCGTTAATCAGAACACAACTCATGTTTAATAACATGAATTCACACAACTAGATGTAGAAACCTAAAGAAACTAAGAGAATAGAGGAAGAAGATGAAAACCAGACGACAAAAATAGAACAGGAATAGAGGTATTTAAAAGAAACAATAAGTAAGGGGCTAAACAAATACCAAGCTCCTGGTGACATTCATTAGTATTTAAAAATATGAATTATATGCATTTATCTACAGAACCTGTCACGTTACAAGAAAGCTTTTAATGTGGCAGACAGAACAATGAGGGAAAGTTACAATGGGTTTAAAAGCAGATAATCAACAGCAAACAAACATGAACAGAAAACAAAAAGAATGTTTAGCTGTAAATGCCAGCATATAAGGGGATATACGAGGTTATATAATAAAGGCTGTGTTTCAGTACATTATGACTTAGATTTGTGGTAAAGGTGAGCTTCACTTAGAGGCCCTGGCAGGCGTGTGTTGTGATATTTTGTTGTTATTGGGTGGTTGTATTTTTTTTTTTTTTTTTCTAGCTTGGGTTAGATTTTTCAGTTGTATTTGTTTTGCTTTGTTGGAAGTTGTTGGATGTAAAGAACAGACGAAGAATTGAGCTGTGGGACACCAAACCCCCGCCATCTCTCTCAGGGGAAATCATTGTCTGTGTAGCTGTTCCACCTATGTATACCAACCCCTCTTTTCCCATCACCAGCACATTGCTCCACGACATCCTAGCTGGGCCTAGGAACAAATTTCTAAATGAAGTTACCTCTGTATGCTGGGGTATTTTTTCATCTTCTTCTGTGCTCCCAAAGCAATACATCCCCACCTTCCACCAGCAAAACATGAGGGATGGCCCTCTGTTGCCTCTGCGCTCTCCTAAATCTTTTCTCTTTGATGGGAAAAACAAATAGAGTGCAGCAGACATCCTGGAGGAAGTAAATAAAGACTTCCACCACAGAGGAACTGTCCATTGTGCTGAAACAGGGCAGCTACAGACTGTCTGGGGAACTGGTCCTGATCCTGAGATCTGACCACGAAAAAAAAAATAAAATAAAAAATACAAATCAGGAGGCATAGAAAATAGCAACAATTTCTTTTTTTTAATCCTGCTATCAAATTGACATTCACAGTACAATCAGTCTGTCCTCTTTATCAGTTTGTCTATTAAGATTCTTCAAATAAAGTAAAAATGAAAGTGCTCTAATTTAGTTTGTCATGTGTAGTAATTTGTGTCTGGAGGGCGTTTTTATTATTATCATCTGTGTCTTTTGTTGAGCTGTTCATATTCTTCTTTCCTGTTCACAGGTCTGTTTATTTATGTTATTTGCATTGTTTGTTTAGTAACGGGCTTTATTCTCATGTAGGTCAAAACTTGCATTTAAAAGATGCTTTCATCTGTACTACATGCATGTTTTCCTTCCTTAATCATCTCTTTGAGTCTGCTCAGATAGTTATCCTAACAGACCTGCTGCAGGCTGGAAAAAATTAAACTATAATCATTTTTTTTTTCATGTTATCATCTCATGGTACCAAATCAGTCTTTTTTATTTCATATCCTGTGAGGATTACTCCTACTCTGTTTAGTTAGAAGCTATGTTGACATTGTTGTTTTGTTGTAATAGAGTAATTAAATTTTATTCCAGAGAGCCCAACATCCCCCTGTCTGTTTGTTTCTCTCTCTACACTTGAGTCAAAGCAACCTGCTTGTTTACAGCTCCTGTCTCAATTCCCTATTCAATGCATTGGCTCATTGTAGACCTGCAGCGTGAACCATGTAGAGACATGAGTGAGGCTTGCTTTTAGTCGTATTTGGCAAGAAACATCAGTCTCTGTTACCTGAATATTGAATAGATTTAACCCAGAAATCCAGTTCTCATTAAACCGAAACCGATGTTTACTGTTAGAATAAATTGTTATGCTTTAATCTATGTTTTTATCTGTCTTGTCATGAATGCTTTACTTCTCATCAGATTGTGATTTAGTTAGGAAATATTTTTGCTTTGATTTCAAACTTCATCTAAATGTAGAAATAGATGATTTTTCTCCCTCAAAACAGACAAAAAGATCTTCTGTGAAGTTTATCCGCTCCACAATGTATCTTTCTTTTCTTTATGTACACTTGGTTATAGCTCAGCTTACTTTCTGCCTTTCTTTCTGCTTTTTCTTGATTAAGCTTCTACCCGGGTGGTTTTCTCCTTCGACGTTGGTAATGGCCCGCTGGAAGTTCAAGTAGAATCGACAGTCCCATTAAATGACAACCGCTGGCATCAAGTTCACGCTGAACGCAACATAAAGGAGGCCTCCCTCCGACTGGACAGCCTGCCTGTGGCCACACAGGAAGCTCCTGCTGAAGGGCACGTCCACCTGCAGCTCAACAGCCAACTGTTCATCGGTGAGGTGCAAATGTCCATTAGGTTAAGAGTTGTTAGAATTTGTCCACTCATGACCGGAGACTAGGGCTGCAACTAACGATTATTTTAAAAATCGATGAATCGGACGATTATTTTTTCGATTAATC